GAAATCACTCTACTTGGTAAAAACGTGTCGTACCTACCTTACCTTAAGGATATCATCACAAAGCTATATATTTGTTTTAGAAAAACCCTTGCTTTCCTTGCGGCAGTATTCTAAGACCAATTTGCTCTAAGCGTGTGCGCAGATATTTAGTGTTCATGTCAACTATATATTAGGTGAAAGATACGTTTGTTGTGTCCCCAATTAGTTGTGAAAACTAAATACATTGACACAGATTTTATATTTATATTTTTTATATTAAATCACACACAAATGCCGAGTTCTTTTCCTTGTGGTAGAACCCAACATGCAAAATGCATGCATTCTAGCATCATTAGCATGATACACTCTGTCTTCATCCCCCGAGCCACATGGTTATCTATTTGTCATGTCATAGCCAAACAAATGTTGTCAACCTAGTGCGTACAGTACTTTACCCTAGCTCGGTTCAACAAATATCATCTGCTGTTATCAAACTACCCTAGTGTGTTTGCCAGGGTTCAAATTAAGAATGGAAACATTTTGCCTCTCCTTATCGGCTTGCTTATTTCTTCTTTAAATTGTCCAATGAAAGAGACCAAAAAGTTCATATTCAGCAGAAACTTTCCCTATTTAGTGGCATGAAAACTTGTCAAATTGTAAATCTGTGACAAAAGAAACCAGGAAAGTGCTCTAATAATGCTGCAGACTCCGTGGCACCTATTGAAAGTGCAAATTAATTTAATCAGTCTTAGAGGGGACTTGCTCACCGATGTAGGATATAATTTCGGTGAACTGAACACTGCTGACCTTCAATACTTCTTGTTGAAATGCTGGGGCTTCTCAGTTGTATTAATAGATATTTTAAGTGGTTTTGTTTTCACAAAGGTGGCAACTGAATAAGAACGTGGTATTCTGTGACTATTTGATAATTAAATTAGTTCTTGTTTATCAGTGAAAAGACAATTTGCATTTTGAATAAAACAATTTCCTCATCAGATATTTAACTTTCTTCTAATCATCTCCAGCACTGAGAAAAAAAGTACGTCCGTTTGTTGTTGAGAAAAGAAGGGTTCCATGTTACATACCTTTGCGAGGAAAACAAAAATATCAAGTTACAAACGTTGGCATGAAAAGTAAAATTGTCACGTTTGCTACTTCAACGTATTATTAAATTTGAAATGAACGAAAATCAACATAAAATACCGGAATAAAATTTGAAAGCTGTCTTGACAAACAGTAACTGAAAGTTATTTTTGGACAAAAAATGAAAATACACTTGAAACATACACACCACTAAGGTTACGTCTTATCAAGGTTTCTGGCCATTCATATCTTGCACTGGGAAAAGCCCAAGGTACCAAGGTAAATACTAACTGGAAGTGAACCAGGCAGGGGTGAGGACCTACCATGTCAGACTATCTGAGATTGTCTTACTAGTTATTTTACACTGCATATGTTATGTTACTGAAAATTTACATTCAATTNGTCTGTGTTTTTGAGAAAAGAAGGGTTCCATGTTACATACCTTTGCGAGGAAAACAAAAATATCAAGTTACAAACGTTGGCATGAAAAGTAAAATTGTCACGTTTGCTACTTCAACGTATCATTAAATTTGAAATGAACAAAAATCGACGTAAAATACCGGAGTAAAATTTGAAAGCTGTCTTGACAAACAGTAATTGAAAGTTATTTTTGGACAAAAAATGAAAATACACTTGAAACATACACACCGCTAAGGTTACGTCTTATCAAGGTTTCTGGCCATTCATATCTTGCATGGGGAAAAGCCCTAGGTACCAAGGTAAATACTAACTGGGAGTGAACCAGGCAGGGGTGAGGACCTACCATGTCAGACTATCAATAGGCCATTTTACAGTTGTGTGCTCAGTGACCTGGCTCAGGAATGAAAGTGACGCTGGAGGTAACCTTGTTTTGATACAGACCTCTCTGCATTTTTCATGTAAATGCAACTAGTTAGCAAGAGCGTATACATCTAAGAGTTAGAACAGCTTGTGAGCAGTGAGGTCTGTATCAAAACAAGGTCACCTCCAGCCTCGCTGCCATTCAAAGGCCAGGTCACTGTGCAGACAACTGTAAAATGGTCTATTACACTCTGCACTATCTGAGATTGTCTTACTAGTTATTTTACACTGCATATGTTATGTTACTGAAAATTTACATTCAATT